CCTATCTTCCTGCAAAGATACCCATTCAAGAGCAAGTTGATTCAAAACCTCAACTGGCATCAACAGTTTTTATGGGGATGATGGCTTGAGAAAATACTTCAAATGATTTATTCACTGTCATCTTTGCTTCATTTCTCAAAATTCAGGGCAAAATCTAGGCAGTTCACCACAACAGGAGAATACATTTACTTAAACAAACAAACAAATGTACATATAGTGTGAGGAATGAGAAAAAAATTACACTGAACCTTTTAAAAATAAAAATAAAAATCCTGATCTACTGTCTTTGGGAAAAGGACAAAGGTCAGTGCCTGCAGAGAAAGAAAGATCTTTGGCAAATCCAAATCCTGAATTACAAGCACTTGGTGTTGACTTGAGAAAATCACTTTGAAGTGTGACAGGCTATGGAAACCTGAACTATCTCTTCTAGCTGCATGTAGTATAACCTTCAGTGTCTGACCTAAAACTAAATCAGCACAAGTTTTAAAGTATAAAAAATATCCAAAAAGGCTAATTATAGCTGAGTGACTTATGAAAATACTGAGCAAAATAAGCAATTATTTCTCCCTTTGGGAAACTCGGCAGAAGATAGTTAAGCACACAGCTAAAGCTGACAGAGCCTACATTTCCAATCAATAGTTTTGTAGAAAATGCTATTGTAATTTATTGTTTATACTCCTTTTTTCTTCAAAGGTAGGTCCAGTATCTTTTCACCTGGGTACACATAAAAGGAAGATGAGAGGACCCACTATACCGTGACCTCTATCTTACGACAATATTACTAGAACACTGGGAAATTTAGAGTTTTCAAAACAAGTAGAGAGAAATCCATTTTCAAAGCTTGCATCATTCATATTGCAAAAAAATTCAACCCATATACATAATGTTATTCTTATCAGGTGACTCATTTTACTTGTGGCTCATTTTACATTTGAATTTGGTGATCAGAAGAGATTGAAGTAGGGACATACGCTTTGCAACTGTATAGAGTGAGACAGCAGACAGTGCAACTAAAACACTGGGTGGTCATTATAGCACTGGGAGGGAGACAGACTCCAAGATGAGCCTTGGTTTAGAAGGGGAAGGGAGATGAGTAGAAAGTCACAGGACGGAAACAGGGGCTCTGTGAAAAAGGTATGTCACCTTGAGGGGACCAAAGAGTACTCTCTATCTGAACTTTGAGTTCTTCTTTTAGCTAATTAAAATAAAGAGAGCAAAACATAAACAGAAAGAAACTAAGGCATTTTAAAGAAACTCTAATTAACTGCTTTATTGACTAGGTTAAATTATAACCTGGATCATTATGTCATTCACCAAAAATGTATTGAATACATGTAGCGCCAGGTTGGGAGAAAAAAATAAAATACTGTCTCTAGGTTTAATGGGTTCACGGTCTCGCAGGAGAGATAGGTGGTGTCAAGTTATATTTCTGTAGTGTGATAAAGACAGCAGAGGTGGTGAAGAGCCTAGATTCTGCAGTCCAGCTGCTTGGGTTTGAGTCCTAGTTCATATATTTCAGATCTGCATGATGTTTGGGCAAGCAACTTACACTTTGATGTTTCTGTTTTATCTGTAAAATGGTGCTAATAAAAGTAAAATCCTCATACTGATATTATGAAATGAAATGCATTTTAATACACATAAAGGTCTTAACAGTGCATGGCTATGACTACTGTTCTTGTTTTAATGGTGTTCATAGCTTGCAGTGAGATTATATAGGAGAAGAGTGAGATGCGGCCCAGGATACTGCAGTAGGACAATCAGAGAGGGCTTTCCAGTGGAGATGAGATTTAAATGGGGTTTTGAAATAGTCTTGTAGGGTTTATGTAAGTCTGCAATGGTGAGAAGTATGGGACAGCATGCACAAGCAAACAGAGAAGAGAAGTCACTGAGAATTAGAGACACTTGGAGAGGTTGATCAGTTGAATCTAGACTATACCAGGGAATTTAGATTCTTATCCTAAACACTCTCATGAATGTTTGCATCCTTATGCATGCTGGTCAGCTCATCTTTTGTTTTCTGGAGCAGCCTCACCTCCCCAGCCATTAATTTATCTTCACTTCTTACTCAGTTCTGTATTTGGCTACAAGGTAATCTTGCTTAGAAAAACATATTTAACTAGGCCATTTCTATGCACATAAACCTGCATTTTGTTCCTTGTTATTCTTTCGATTGAATCTAAATATTTTGGCCCAGTATTCAGGCTTGTCTCTCCATTGTCTAAAACATATATACAAATGCACCTCTCTTGTTATAATAGGGTTTTTGTAAGAGCTGGCTGCTTGTTGTCCCCATCTACTTCCTCTCCTTGTAGATTTTATTCACTCCAGTCTCTGATTCTGTTCAAGTAGCTTCTTCTTTGGAATTTTAATCTCCCCAGATCAATTTCACTTACTTCTTTAAAAACAGGCTCAAATTTGACCATCTTGAAGAAAAAGAAAGTTTGCTGACCAAACCACACATCATGTTGATAAGCTTCTGACACCACATTTCTTGGTGCTGAGCTCCACAGTCATGTGCTTCAGCCTGCTTCTTCCTAAGCCCCACCTCCACCCCATCTCTCTCCACATTGTCTAGGATTTTCTAGTGAGTGGAGATGTTGTCTTCTAGATATCTTGCTTTCCAATGTAAGTCCATCTACAGTATCCTATATAATAAATAGCCCAATAAATGCTTGTTAGATGAATATATTATATGTAAACATGTCTCATAATATAACCTCCTTAATAACATGACAAGACTATTATGTAAAAGTTCCATACATGTTTAAATATTAGTTACTTGTCTCTTGCAAGCTGAATTGAAAGAAAATCAAGATGACAGATTATAGCTGATATTTACTTAGATATATATATATATACTTCACATAGATAAGTAGAACATTTAAAAAAGGTATTGAAATTCTTTTAATTGAATGACTTTTAAAGTTGATCTTCCATTGTAAAACATAGATAAAGACATAGAGGAATTTACAACTTAGTGTAAATCCCTAGACATTAGCGTGTAGAAGAATAGGAACACTGTTTACTCAATATCTCTTTTGTACTAGTCATCAAAAGGCTGCTAACTTTACATAAATTATCTCACTAGAACTTTCCAATATCTCCTCCCAAGACAAGTAATTATTATGATGGTCATTTTATAGCCAATGGCACTCTGGCTTAAAAAGAAGTTTAAGGACTCTTTCCAAAGTCTTACTTCTAAGTGATATATTTGGGACTGGAATCCAGGTCTACCTGGCTCTCAAGCCAAAGTGCTTTGAGAAGTTACATAGACTTTATTGTTAGAATGGCAGTGTTTAGAAATAGGTTAAATAACTTGACAATTTTGGATAAGTAACAAACTTTCTTGGTCTCAGATCCTCATTCTTAAGAATTTGCCTTCCATAATCTTTAAATTGTTATGGAAAGTGGCATTTTAAAAAAAATTACAGTTAAAAATTTCATGGCATAAAGAGTCAGGTGCACATCAGTGAGTCATATAATGACTATAACAGGAACATACAGGGCTGGGCAAAAGTAGGTTAATAATAATTAATTAATAACACATTAATTAATAAATAATAATACAAGAATAAACTTTGTTTCTCATACATACAGCTGCAAACCTACTTTTGCCAATGTTAAAATGTAGCCAACATGTTAGAGACAATAAAGGCATTAATAAATGTACTACACTAAACTACTATTCAATGTCAATAATTGTAATTTTACTAGACTTGTAGGCCTCTTCTCAATATTGTGCAACAAAGTATTATAATACATAAAAGACAAAAGTCTAGAATAACATCGATGTATCAAATAGTTGAATGTCATAATTATCTTTTAAATTCCCCTCATGTCCCTGAGAATCTAGGTAGAATGATTGGGTATCCTTGGGTAAATTACAACTGGTTTGTAGCCATGATCTGGAGTGGACTGAATGCAATAAATTGCTGTTGTATAGAATGCTCTGATTATTAACAGTTAAACCTTTTTCCCACATATTGACTTCCTCCACCGTTTGGCTCTTGTGGTAGTTTGGTCAGTGCTAATAACTGAACATTCTCCTCTCAAACACACACAGTCACACTGAAAAATAGCTATATCTTCTTTTGCCTATAAGGTTCTGCATGCTTTGCCACTGGACTTGGTTAGAAGAAATTAAAATCTTTTATATCAGGTCATCAGTATGACAGACACTCTGAGGCACAAACTACCATTACATTAAAGGGAGTAATTTGATATATTAATGTATATCTCAGGGTTCTCATTTGGCTTGTGAAAATGTTAATTAAAACTGGCCATTGGAGAAAAGAAACTCTAAAAAGAGATAAAAGTGAGCTCCAAGTTCCTTGAAAATAAGATACAAGCATAAAAGAAAGGTCAAGAAATAGCATGGAGGCTGAAAAAAAAGTTTTTTTTTTTACAGCTTTTACAATGGACTATGATAAAATTTCAGTCCCCTCTGGGGTCCTAGAATAAAAAACAAAAGCTAATGATTAGAGGACAGAATGGGGAACAGGCTCTACAACAAGTAGGTCCAATGCATGTTCTTACTATGAAGACCACAGCTCATAATTGTGTCTCTATAGCACTTGCATTTTGACACATTGAACAGATAGTTCTAGGCTCTAATTAAATGGCACCAAACACAGACGAATAAACCACACACACAAAAATTTCATACAATTTAAATGTGAACTTAATAGACACATAGCTTCCAATTAAAAGTGTTCCTATCAGAAAATATATTTTGTAGTAACACAGGAAAAATGATTAAGGGCAAAAAATAGATGTTAACATACCACAAATACTTCTGAAGGAAAAGCTTATTGTGAAACCCTGATCCACAAACCAATTGGCTTTTGTTGACTACAATAGTTCTTATGCTAACTGGAGTAGTGTTGTAAATTAAAGAGAAATTAAAATGTTTTTCCAACTTTAATTTTAATATAGTAATCTACTAAGTATGTGGTGTGAAAAGTTAGTATTCAATAAATATGGATGGTGACTCATACCTTAAATTCCTCCAAGATTTTGTAATTTTTCCCATGATATTCACAAAAGTTTTTCACTTCTTTGCACTCAGGACAGCATCCATTGTGTTCTACTTTAGTACACTTTGGGTGAATTTTAGGGCATTCTGGCTGGTCACAAACAGGTCCATCCAGGGCACAGACACATGGACAGTTGGAATGCCCTGGGAAAAATCGTTCTCCCAACTTGTAGACAAAGCCGCTGTCATCCACACACCCTTTCCCTCGATAATCATCAAAGATCAGGTTGTCATTACTGGAGGTCTGGTCACCTTCATCAGCAGGGTAGTCTTCATGACTGATGGCAGCAGAGGTGACCAATCCAGGTATGACCAACAGAAGTATGCAAGCTTCATGAATATGAAGAGCCATCCCCCTCCTCAAAGGATTCTGGATGTGCTCCTAATATTAAATATACTCAGCTCCTTCCATGGGAATACAAGAGGGGTAGGCTGAAAATAAAGATTAAAAAATAATTTGACATATATAAAGTAAATGTAGATTTATTTAAGCCTATGATCTTAACCTGTTTACTTGGGAGCTGTTTGGAAGATGGACCTCAAATAGACTAAGTTCATGCAACTGTCTGCACTTTATTATGAAGTCTGGAGAATTGATCGTTGGTAATACATACATTAAAATTTATCTTTTTTGGAGTTATTTCACAGAGGAACCTTTAGCTTGAATTTACCTTTTGAATTTTAAAGGTCTGGATTGTTCTAAATTATAGGAAGTGATGTTGCTGACCCTCAAAGGTGATTGTACAAGTGGTTACTTACAAATAACTCAAGAATAATTGAATTCACATTTTCTACTATTCTTTAAACCATATTAATGATAGAATGAATATATGTTATAATCATCTGTATGAAAACTCAAGAAATTAGTGAGAAAAATTCTACCTATAAGAGAAAGGAAAAAAACCAACAATTGAATGTAAATTGTAATTGGAATGGTGCTAGTATAAAGGTCTTCCTACTTCTTTATGCTCATAATTGGAGAACAACAGTGGTCTCAATGTGGGTTACTTGTTTCATTCAATATAAATCTGGATTTTGAAATTTAGCTAAGAAGAAAAATAGTGTGTATATTCCACAGTGAATGAGATAGAAAATTGAAAATAATAAATAATGCAATACAAGAGAACTCCCTGTCCTTAAATTTGTTTGTATTGTATTATTGTACACACCTTTATTTTACTCAGAGAGTAAGCTTCTAGTGGGCAGGAAAGAGGTGTCTGAGGATTTTTTTTACAACTTGAATCTAGTATTCATGTAATAGTATTTGAATGAATTACTTCAGTATATAATAAATGCCATTCAACAGTCTTGAAAACATATATCTCTTTTGACAAGCCAAAGATATTTTCCCAAAAAATGTCAGTGTCAAATATTTATTGGTTTCATAGAATAGTAATGAGGTGTTGCCATTCATAGAAAATATACCTTATTAGTGTGGTGGCATTAACTCATATACTTCACTTACTGCTTGGTGTGGAGTGTTGCTAGTGGGTTCTGATATAAATGTTTAGAGTGACTAACTCATATGAAAACTCTGGGGAAACTGACTTTATGGAGTCATAGATAAGGAGAAGTGTTGTCAAGTAATTCATTTGTCTTGTTAAATGTTTTTGGATTTATGCCAAATGTCAATAAAATTGTATATAGGATATTTTCAGATCATTTATAAATACTATTTATTGGTTTATTTTCAGGTTATAATGGGACCAGTGATAAACCATCTGTTTTTAGCCTAACATAGAGGTGATACTTTTAAATAAGATAAAGATGATATTAGGAAACTTTATTAACATTTGCATTTTAAGTTAGATATGCAAATTCTAGTGATAGTAAAATGTAAGGTAGTATATTCATGCCCTCCCTTCAAGAGAAAACTGCTCTCTGATATTGGAATTCTTTTAGGGTAGATAAAGATAACTGAGATGGATTTCTTCTTGAAATATGTCAAAAATAATGAGTCATGACAGAACAAAAAAATGCAAACCTATAATTCTACTTTAGAGGCTGGAAGCTCCCTTTGACAAAGCATTTTTTTTTCTCTCAAATTACTACAGAGGCTACAAACATAACAGAAGCTTCTGAAAAAGGCACATATATATTTTACTAATTAAGGCATGCATTTTATACATCTCTCCCATATTAAGAAAGTTTATCTTGGAGGAAAAAAAAGAGCTAGTGTGCTTCCTTATAGTATTCCAGTAGCACCTGTCAATACATACAAGATAAGCCATATAAAATACCCATATCATTCTGCTTCAAAAGGACATAGACAGAAATGATCTCTCTGCAAGCTACAGGTAGGCATTAATATCAGGTTATAGTAAATGTAAACTTAAAAGGTAAAAAGGGGTGTAATATCCACTTTATATAAACATTAAACATACTTATATGAAATACCTTTAAAAATCTGCATGGAGAATATGAGGTTTTCTATTTAATATAACAAAGTTCTTAGGCTATTTTTTAAAAATTCCACTTTATAACTGAGCTGCTCTAGTGCAGTTTAAGACACTATTTAAGAGGAAAAAAATAGAGAAATCCAATATAATGTTTATATGAAGATTTTTAATAAGTAAACATTACTAAATGGAAGATCACTTTCTAGATAAACTTTCCCCCTCCCCACATTGCTACATATGATTTAAAATGACTGCATCTCTTTCTTTAAGAAAACAAACATAACTCATGTCATAAGATACACTTACCTAATCACTCTGGAGGTTAATGGTGGTGATAGGGGTCATAGACCAATATGAACTAAAAGATAAGGAATGTTTTAGGAAATCAGTTCCTTTTTAATTATCCAAAGAACACATTTTCAGGCTTGAATTAAAGGCAATCCATTCTCTCTACCTCCCATTTCAAACCACAGTCAAGAAGCAGTCTCCCACCCTTCCAGAGAGAAATACAGCAGACACACATAAGAAATATGCTTTGGACCTGTCTTCAAAATTCAATGCAAGAAGCAAAGCTGGTCCTGTAGAAATCCAGACCTCGGTAGCAGAATCGTGTTGAACTTATTTTTAGCATTTTCTCAGATCCTTCTATGAAATTTCCCAGCTGATTACGCCTCTTCCACACATGAGTTCACTTACACAGTGTTTGCTACGGCAGTAGAGGTGATTTGGCTAGGCTCTGTGGATCACAAACAGCAACAGCATGCTGTAGCTTAAAGCCCGCTCCGCTGGCAATAACATCAGCATCATCCACAATATGTTGCTTGAATCCCCTCTTACACACCAGACAATACTAACTGTGGACGTGAAGGAAAGGAGCAACTTTAGCTGGGTTTCTGCATCACTGAGAGCAGTTTGCAGACTGCTGATTTGGAGCTCATTCTGCCGGCAGCCGGGAATTCCTCAGCACCACGGACAGCGCCAACTGGCTTCTGAGCCCATCTCGGCCGAAATCCCGAGCTGCTGCTTTAGACCAGGCTAGTGTTCTCCAAGCAGTCGCACTTTATACAGCTGATGCATGCATGGGGCGGGGTGGGGAGGGGGGGCGCATTTTACGTGCGAGATACTTATTTGCATTGAAATTACAATAAAAAATTAAAAAAATAACATTGTAATTATACTTAATGCATTCTTGGATGGACTGCAGAGGTGAAAGTTCCGGAAGAGCCTTGCATTTAGATTTAAACCAGCTGCAGTCTCTGATTATTATTTATAGATAAAGCATAATCGTTGTCAAGTAATCTCTAAAATGTATTCTCGGCCATTCTAATTGATTCTGGTTGAAGAAACGCTTTCCCTGTGCTACATGGTTAAACTTTAAGTCGTCCTGCAGCTTGAATTTGATTTTTAAAAAAGTCGCCTGGTTCTCCTGCAGTTTGTTCTCTAACATTCAAAATCAATCTCCTGTAATTCATCTAGTCTGTCATTAGGCGTCATTGTTAAGCTGTTTCTTCCAAACTCCTAGCAAAAATGCTCTGTCTCTAAAATCTTATCAAAATAAGAAAAAAACACCCAGGCACAAACAAATGAGCAGAAAGTTTTTTTGTTTGTTTGTTTTATTGGTAACAGTATGAGCATTAAAATACATGTTCAAAGGATGTTTTAAAGCCAATGTTAAATGTTACCTGCTGGCATACTTAACCAGCTCGTCACTGGTTTGGGACTATAGGAGGCATGTTCGAGCCTTAAAGAGAATGCTCTCTGCAGTGGGATATGCTGACCATCAAGACCACATTCGAACAGTGCCCTCAGAGCCTCCGGAAAACAGATTTCCTGCATCCTCAGAAAACACGACTGTGTGAGCTTCATCCTCATGGCCCACCAGCTTGTGAATCTGCCCTGATTTAAGGTCCAGCAAATGAATGACCCCACTGCTACTCGCCTGAGCTAATACTTGACCTGAGAGGGAGAGAGGAGGGGTAAGGGGAGAGATAAGGGAGAATATCAAAGTTTTATTTCAAGCAGTCACAGGTTCTAAGCAATGGAATATATAGTTTTGTTTCCATTTTAATTCAACAGACTCATTTTGTGTTAGATATCAGTCATTAAATATGACCCAACTCCTGTCTGAATAGAAAATAATTCCAGTCAAAGTTAAGACAGGTTGGTGATTAGATTATAAAAATTTAAAATGAGAAAGTAAAACCTAATGATTTACCTACTTTATATGCAGAGGTCATCAAATGGTCTGCTAGTCTCCTTATATTTGGGATTAATAAGTAATTTTGAGGAGATGAGATTGAAAGCAGTAAGCAACACTGCTTTCTTTTTCAATTGTATTTTTTGTGAAAAATTGTTTAAAAACATAGGCTTCAGATGTATGTATGGCAACACACACACATATAGTGCATACTTTATTTTCAAATTTGTATTATGCTTAAAATTTTTATTATAATTATACTAAGTTGTTACTTAATAGTATAATACATTTATTATAATAATACACTTAAAAGTTGTGACATTTATTAACTCAGCAAATTTCTTTGGAGTTGAGGAGAAAATACCTCCATTTCAAAGATGACTAAGGTTTTTTAACTCTAATTTAAAATTCAAAATTCTGTTAAATTTGTTATGTAAGAGAACTGAATGCAACACTGAGTGTTCTCGTAATTTTATACCATATACTTTTGAGTGAATAATTTTCTTAAAGGGAAAAACATATCAGCAATCCAATCCTAACCAATATTTTTTTATTTTTAAAGGTTCAGTAGCAAACTACCAAGAAATTTAGAGGTAAGTAAAAACAATAGCTTATGTTTACATAAGTTCAGTACATGGGGCAAATAAATATGGTATTAGTACTATTCATGAGGTTATCTAATAAAACTTAGGAGGCATATAGTATCATTTTAGTAATGACATTTAAAATTCATTAAACCCTTTTTAACGAGCTAGATACTAGATTTAGTAATATAACATGGATAATTTCATATAACCCTTACAATAATCTAATAAAAGAAATAATAGTAAGTTCATTATATTGGTGCAGAGACTTGGAAAAACTAAGAAACTTGCTTAAGATGATAACAATGATAACACACATATAGAGGGAGCTAGCATTTAATCGAAAGCACTTTGAATTATGTTTTCCACATCCAGATAGAATTGTTATCAATGATGAGTTCTTGGCAAATTTTAAGTAGGTGATATACTGTGAAATTAGAATTTGTCCATTCCATCATGAAAACTCTATATATCACCATAAAAGTCACAGTGAAATATTTAGTCACAAAAATGTACTAAGAATAGTTCTGAAAATCTCTAAAACAGAGAAAAGTTATAAAAGTAAAGCTAACCATGATAAATATAGCTTATTTGCAAATCTTTATAACTACTGGGCTTCTTCATCCAAAACAAAGCCTGACACAGCAAAGATCCTTAGGATGGATTAAAGTGTCCAAAGCAGCAGATGTGAATATTTATTATAAACCCTCTTCTACAAAGTCTTTGCTGACAGAGGCATTGCATACGGATTTCACTTCTGGCCCCTACAGGCAATTGTTGCTTATCACTTTTCTAAGAACCAAATAACTTTTTTCTTATAGTCTTCATATAATAGCTAGGAAGGGGGTAAATTTTATTTACTATTTTGAAAACTAAACAGAATTAAAGCCTGTAAAGAAAATGAAAAAATTAGCATTAAATCATGATCTTTTGTTAAAGTCAAATCTGTAAAAATTATAATTACAAACAATTATAAAGGTTCTTGGTAATTTCTGAAAATCTGCTTAATAAAATGGAGGAAATAATAGTTTTGGAACTTGTGGAAGAAAAGAAGCTACAGTGCAAAACCTGATACCTCAGGAGAGGCATGTGTGGCACCCTTACAAATTCAGAGACCTGAAGTAACCACATAGGATAGTCTGAATTTAAAACTTTCTAACTAAGCAGTTCATGGCAGGTAGTCGTGCCCTAGGCTGATATTTTTCCCTAATAAAGGTCAATCTTTACCTTCACTAAGCCTGTCTGTTGTCTTATTGCACCTATGATAACATATATTTGGAATGTCAAATTTCTTTTATCCAGACCCCTCAAAGCACAGGCACCGCACCAAGGGAGACCACAAATGCTCTCATTGTTATTGCTATCATGTTAATTGTTGACTATGAGCTATGTAAAAGTGTCTATCATTTCACTTTTTATCCAGTCCCAGAGGTTTCCCCACTTTGCTTTCTCCCACCTCCTTAACCTATCACCAATGGATTTCTTACAATCATCTTATGCCTCCTCTTTTTATTGTAATGTATAAAATAAGGTGTTACATTGTCATTATCTGAAAGCATTTCTCAATCCATCGAGATTTTGCTTCCTGCCAATTGTCATCAGCTTGGCTCAAATAAATTCACAAAAATTCTCTACAGGTTTGATTATTTCTTATGTGGACAAACTTGATAGGCTTATATAATTCAGCAGCACTATGCCTCAGATGTTCTAAAAAATGTTCTCTGTGCTAGAACAGACTTAAGTCACGAAGTTTATGGTAAGGTTTTTTTATGTTTACTTGAACTCTGGGGCATAAATTTACAGTCATATTTAATTTTATTAAAAGTGTATTGGATTAAGATGAAGACAGGCCAGGACTTAAGGTGTAAGAAGATCTGGAACTCAACTTCTCCCATGAACACACCAAATATACACCTATATATAAAATAAATCCTCCTGAGGGAGTGAGGGCTAGTTGAACAGCTTCTGCACAACAAATGAGAAAGGGACCATATAGGGAGATGGAGACATGGTAATCTTGTGAAGCCAACCACCACATGTGCCTTGTATTCAGTAGTAGGGAGTAATATTACTGAGGGGCCTTTGCAGACAGACTCACCTGTTTTGGGATATAACAATAAAACAGCAACCTAAAGGGCTCCTAAGACTGTACATGAAAAAAATTCATTTACTGACCCCAGGTGCCTGTCAAATGGGGGGACAACTTCAGGAACTTTCAGAGTGTGTGGAAACTGTCTGGGATCAGAGGTGTTTGTGAGCACCATTGTTTACATTCCCCACCCACCTCGATAGTGTGGGCAGGAGCTTGGGCCAAGCACTCTAGCCACCCTATGAGGCCTCCACAACAAGCCCTGGCCACCTCAGCATTTCTCCAGCTGCTGCACCAGAGTGCCAGAGGAGCCAGAAACACCCACTTAACCTTCAGGAGGCAGCCAAAACCACTCGGCATACACTGTCTACAAAAAGGTTGTTCTTATTCAAGTCCACTTTCGCAAGGTTGAAGAGATAGCTGTTTTACTTAATACATAGACACAAACACAGAAAGTAAAACAAAATGAAACAACAAAGCAATATGTTCCAAATTAAAGAACAAGAAAAAACCCAGAATAAAAACCCCAAATGAAATGGCGATGTGTAATTTGCCTGATAAAGAATTTGAAGTAATAGTCTTAAGGCTGGTCACTGAACTTGGGAGATTGGAGAAACTCAGAACATCAACAGAGTTAGAAAATATAGTAGAGAACCAAACAGAGTTGAATACTACAATCACTAGTGGGAATCAACTGCAGATTAGATAATACAGAAGAAAAGATTAGTGACCTGGATGACAGAATAGTGGAAATTACCCAGCCATAAAAGTAAAAATAAGAAAGGAATTTAAAATATGAGAATAGTTTAAGGGACATCTGGGACAACATCAATACATTAACATTCACATTTTAGATTCCAGAGGAGAAGAGAAAAAAAAAGGGAAGAAAAATTACTTGAACAAATAATGGCTGAAAACTTTTCTAAACTAGGGAAGGAAGCAGACTCCAGGATTGGGAAGCACAGGGAGTTACAAACAATATGAATCCAAAGAGATACACAGCAAGACATATTGCAATTAAAGAGAGAATCCTGAAGGCAGCAAGAGAAAGATAAAACTAGTCACATACAAGGGAAACGTGATAAGGGTATGAGCTGATTTCTCAGTAGGAACTTTGCAGGTCAGAAGGGAATGGTGGGATATATTTAAATTGCTGAAATAAAGAAACCCACAGCCTCAAGTTGCACCAGATAAGTTATTATTCAGAAATGAAGGAGAGAGAATGTTTTCTAGAAAAGTGCAAACTAAAGTTCATCACCACTAAACCTACCTTACAATAAATGTTAAAGAATCTTCTTTAAGTGGGAAAAGGAGCAATAACCAGAAATTTCAAAAAACATACATAAAAAAAATCTTACAAGTAAAGGCAAATTTGTAAAGCAATGGATCAGCCACTTAAACCACTATACAAAATGCAAGGTTAAAATACATATTCACAAAATCATATGTAAATACAATAAGTAGATAGGGGATACACAAAACAAAAAGAACAAAAAGGTGACATTAAAAACAAAGTGTGAAGAAGGGATTAAAAATGTAGCATTTTCAGAATGCTTTCCAACATAAATGCCAATAGCCTAAAATAGACCACTATATGTGTGTGTGTGTGTGTGTGTGTGTATGCACGTACATCTACATCTCTCTAAATATAGATATGGATATCTAGATATATATAGACATTTCTCTGTACATATCAACCTCTTGGTAACCATAAACCAAAACCTATAAAACATACACAATAAGTAAATAGAAAGAAACTCAAATGTAACACCAAGAAAAATCAGCATACCACGGTGAAAAAAAGGAAAAGAAACAAAAACTACAACAAAATTAAGGAAATTTCAATAAATACATATCTATAAATAATTATTAACATTTTACTTATTTTTAGAGAGAGGGGAAGGGAGGGAGAAAGGGAAAGAAACATCAATGTGTGGTTGCCTCTCACGCACCTCCCCTCCACTGGGGACCTGGCCCACAACCCAGGCATGTGCCCTGACTGGGAATCGAACCAGCCACCCTTTGGTTCACAGGCCAGCACTCAATCCACTGTGTCTCACCAGCCAGAGCTATAAATAATTGCTTT